TAATTGATTTCATTTGTATTTCAAATGCATCTCATCGTATTCTCTTCTTGTTTTTTCTTTGAGTTTTTTTATAATATTTTGTCAACCTTCCTTGCTAAAATATGTTGTTAGCCTATTTTTCAATTTGACCTCCTTAAGGCACATACTCAAAATATTATTTTGACATCTTTATCCGACATAGCAGATGAATCGATTTCTTTCGTCTTAACCATGGTGATACTAGCATGAAAAGAACTAATCAACATAAATATTTGTCATAAAAACATAAATTGTCATTTAAGATATCGCAACTCAAAGAAAACTAGCATTTTCAAAGAACAGAAAAAAATTACCAACATTAACACCACACCACCACCACAACATCACCCCCCACATTCAACATATCATCGTCACTGCCACATTATCAACACCATCACCGACATCAACATCACACCGCACCACTACTCCAACACCAACACCACTACAAACACCAAAGTAATATGATAAAAGCCCATCCCATATTTTTCATTTGAGGCAATTACATACAGGGCACCAGAAACATTGCTATCTACAAATCAAGCACCCTCTTTCATCGATCTTTTAAATTCTCACTCAAACATCAAAGGTAGTGATAAAATCACATCTCATATTTTTCATTTGAGACAATTGCATACACGGCACCAAAAACATTCATATCTGCAAATCAAGCACCCTCTTTCATCCATTTTTAAATTCTCACTCATACATCAAAGAAAAACCAACCATATTTTTCAATTCAGCCAGTTACATACAGAACACCTGAAACATTGATATCTACAAATCAAGAACCATCTTTCATCAATTTTTCAAATTCCAACTCAAAAATCAAAGGAGGTAAAGAAAAACACCACTCCATATTTTTCATTTGTTTTGGTTACATACAGGCCACCCTAAACATTGTTATCTACAAATCAAGAACCAACTTTCATCCATTTTTCAAATTCTCACTCAAAAAAGCAGTGGAGGTAAAAATAAATTACCATTCCCTATTTTTCATTTTTATCAAATTCACAATGGTTTAATTGTGGTAAGGGTAATCGCAAATTCAAAGGAGGTAAATGCATCAATTTTGAGTGCCATGTATTTAACTGGAGATCGTAAAATCGTAAAATCCTATAAATCGCAAAATCTACAAAATTCTCACAATAAACCGCAAGTGAGAAAGCCACAAATCACAAAGAGAAAGTCATTTCATCGAAAATGAGCACAAGAATTACATTCAGAGCACAGTAACCGGAGATCAGAGGGAAGAGGGAGGGAGAAAGGCAACCTGTTGCCACCGGAGAGGCGTGTGAGAGGCGCCAGAAAGAAACGAGAGAGCTACCAAGGGCAGCCTTCGCAAGAGCGATTGAGAGGGTACCTAAGGCAAATGAAACATGAGAGAGGGAGCCACCGGATATCGCAATCGAGAGAGGGCAGTGGGGTAATAAGTTTGCGAAGAAACGTGGGTCATGGGGTTCGACCCCGAGGCCCACGTTTAACATAGATTATTTAGGAACGCCACTGCACTTCAACCGGCATTTTCACAATGCGTCGCGCCAAAAAAGTTGTCTCAAAGAGGCCCTTTGTCAATCATGCAGACGTCATTCCAAAACACATCCTAATAGAATAAATATTCATAAACACTTGTGTTTGTGCTTCTATTCATAATTTTGCTTTGAATCTCTCAAAACGGTTTTATGTGGTTTTCAATATCCAACACAACAGCTCGATTATGCATATAAAGTATGGACCAATATGAATGCAACTGCACCATATTGCTGATAGACGAGCTTAGCCTTTCAACATATCTCGCTATTGTGCGTTCCTCTGGTTCCACCACCTCACATTTCAACATTAGTTGATCAAATTCAGCAATTTGCTCTAAAGAAGAATCTCTCTAGCGCGGGTGTTAAAATTTTATGAACATATCATGTCGGTAATATGGGGGAAAGTATTTATGTTGCATCTCCCTTGTCATCTTAGATTATGTGTTGGTCTTAATCTTGTTTTCTAGTTGTTGAAAATGCTTCTAGTTCTTCCATCACAAATAAGTGTTCTTCTTGACCTTGATGGCTGCCACTTTAACTCACTTGTTCTGAGAAACGTCATTATACTAAGAAAATTTATTGCGCTATTTGAAGTCACTCGATAAACTCGTTAGGATCTATGCAACAATCAAAATCCAATAAATTCACCTTTACTCCAAGATCACAGCTTCTCTAATACTCTCTGCCAAATAGACGTGGCATCAAATATTCATAACATGAAGCTTCTTGGTGGAAGGAATTAAACTTCTCCTCTTGATCTAACGAGTTATCATGAAAGTTATCAGTGACCTCAACAGATTGCTCCTCTCAAAGACGGCAAGTCTCTATCGCAGTTGGAGGATTTCTCGCTGCATATCCTCCAAAGTGATCTCTTGAACACCTCGTTGAGGGTTTCTCCTAAGTGGCAAGCTATTATCTCCTCCAAATCAAGGCTTCAATGAAAGTAGGATTGTAAATTAAAGGTGGGTTGTGGCCTAAGTTTTGGAAATAGATGTCGGGATGAAAATTTGTTGAAGGCGATTGTAATTTAAAAAATTAGAGTTGGGGCTAGAAACTATGATAGACACAATTTGGGAATAGTGGGCATCTTTTTTGTTTGGAATTTCATATTTGGGGCAAAAAAGATGAATCCCTAAATATATAGGGTTTGTCGGGCTCTGATATCAAATAATAACATTCTAGGCCTCCTAGAATCTGTGAGAGCACATAGAAAGCTGTTTGGAAAGTTGCAGGAGGGATAATTGTAGTGGATGGATTGGGCGGCTTAATTCTAGCGTGGATAGTGGATTACAGCGAACCAAAAGAAGAAAACTGTTGTTTTTCTGCTGCGTAACAGCAGTTAGCTGCTGTCCAACAGCTGTCGCAGCGAAAAATCAGCAAAATGTATGGATATGGGCGGCTATGAGGATCCACCGCATGTTCATGAACAAGATCCAGATACATAACTTGCAAAAGGAAAATGATACAACACTTCGAAGAGCTTAATACACACAATAAATATAGAAAAAATTATCCAAACAGCAAAAACACACAGACATAAATAGTCACATAATAGGAAATGCCCTAGTTTAGAAATAGAGAAATAGAAAAAAAATCAAAAAAGAAAAGAAAAATATGCAGAAATTGAAGGTCAGCAGCCCCGATTCCAATCCACACGATCACGAGTTTTCTGCAATCACGAGGACATGGGATCACGGAATCCCAACGTAACGTTCCCGCATCGGTATCAATAAAGATAAATAAAAAATATAACACAAATTTGCAAGAACAAAGAAATTTATTCATCAAAAACTAATATACGGAAGAATTGCGCTCCTTTTCAAAGCTTCACTGTGATTTAATTTTGGATAAGAGGGATCCATGATGCAAAAAATCACTAAACATGAAATATAGGCAAATCCAACTAAAATCGTACATAAAATGAAATGTACAAAAAGCCCAAAAGTCAAGAAGTGTTTGAGGTCATTAAACCCTGGAAATGATGGAGTTTTGCATGGAAATAAGTTCCAATGAATCTGTTTGTTTAAAAGAAAAGAAGAAGAAACCATGAACTTTGTCTGTTAAATTTGACCCAAACGAGGAGTAAAACCAATTACAAGCTAGCAATGAAGAGGATTCCTTAAGAATTTTTTTCTGGTCAACAACTTGTGCTTCCAAGAAATGATATTTCCAAAACCTCTTGTCATTATTTCTTCTCAGAGTCCTAATCAATACTTTAGTAGAGGACCCTGGGGTAAACTAAACAATGTAGACTGGCATCATTCTTACACTAATTGAACCTGAAATTTTGTGGGTTCAACTATCAAAACTGGAACTATTTAAATTTTCCTCAACCTTGGGCTTTGGGATAGAATCAGTCATCCTCTTCTTAGTATGAGAAGATAATATATCAACAATATAGCCAACGTATGAAATATCCAAATTTGCACAATCAACCATTAAATAATATCCAGTAATTTGGATTCAACCTAGACAAGCTCAAACTGATCGAACTGGGTCTGAAAAAGGAATTAACCAAACCAATCGACTCTAAACAGGGTCAATCAATTCCAATAAAAGCTGGTCCGTGTGCTTCCAAATTAGGACATTGTCACCAATCCAAGTGAAAATAACCATAATCTCCTTCACGAAAACACTGCATCTGCATTTTATAGGAATTATTCTCTGGCTCACACTACACTTTCTTCTTCTCCCCTTTCCTCTGGACACAGATGCCAGGGGTAGCAATAGAAAGGCAAAGATCCCCAAAAATGGTACTATGAGGTTTAGTAAGCCACCTCAACAATGCTATAATTCAAGCCATCAATGGCTGATAGCTTCTTAGTTGCGCTACATACATACACACTGCAATAATAATTCCAATCAATGATGGTACAACAATGCTTCAACGAAGCCTTGACATTAAGGTTGTGGCTCCGGCCATGCCAAGAGCTTCTTCAATTAATGATAACAATGTTTTCATTAATGTTAACGATTTTTCTATCACAGATCCATTGTAGCACGAGTTCAAGTTTTAGCCCTCACAAACTCTGTTATCATATACATTCACTAATAATATCTAAAGATATCTTATTGGTTTCTCATGTAGTTAGCTTCTACAAACAGTATTTATTCAAGCAAATCATCATTTAATTAAAATAAAAGGATAATATTAATATACCAAAAGGGCATCCTACCAAAGTTCGATTCAGATCATATTGCTTAGTCACTAATTTGAGCATCAAACGCTCCCTCTTGGAGGAGAAGCCCTATATTTTCTGAGTTAATTGTGCAAGGCTACTTTCGGAATCAAGAAGATTAATACGGTAACATTTTACTGATGTAAGAAGACATTTTAATCCATATCAAGATCAAAACTAAAAATATTGCCCATAGGCATTGACCCAACTTGTTAAATAATAATCACCCAATCTTAAAGTCAATAAATGTTCAAATGAGAACAAGGAATTGTGCTTGGCAAAGAAACTGGAATAGATTTTATCCTTTAAGAATAAATAATTGTAGCCTGACAAAGAACCTGACAAATTAATAAATTGTTTCTCCAAAAATAAATCCCAACTCACTTGTCAACAAAATAATCCATTCGTTTGGATTGAAGGAGTTGGAATAGTTACATAAAACATCCAACATCAATAATTTCATAAATATTATAAAAACACAGGGAAATGCCGTTAAGAAAGTAAGGAAGTCTCCATTCAACTCGAGCAGATTGATTCAATGGATACATGGTGCTCAGTTATTCACTGCTGAGAAAGGCTGGAAAGTCTCATATTCCTGTAGAGATTTCATGTAAGTCGGAGAAAAAAAATGTCTATATTAGAGGAAAAAGTATAAATCCTTGATTAATGAAAATTTCTTGAAGAAGATGAACTGAAATTCCAGATAAAGACAGAGAAAACTCATTTTTGTTAAAAAACTTATGATAATAAAAGCATAAAATATACTGCAAGTTCACACTGAATACCTATGTGATCAAGCTTGGAACATCTCATATCAAGGAAGACGAAGTAGATGGTTAACAGCCACTTCAAGCTTATCAACGTTCTTCCTTAACATCTTTCTTTCACAAGAGTTAAGTGCCCCCAGTATCAAAAAAGACAAGGCAAATAAATGTCTCCATAATTCATAGGCCTGTAGAATCAATAGTCTTTGCCTATCATAATGATAAGGGGCATTTACATACATACTACTCAATTCTTATGTTTTTACATATCTAACATCTAAACTCTACTTTTTACATTTATACACCCAAAAATTTTATGTAGCGTCAAAAATACCATCATTTTAACCTTTGAAAAGTGAAATACACATTTTCATGCACAGTGAAGGTGGCATATAAGTAAAATTGAAGTTGAGGTGTTAGATATGTAAATACATAAGAATTAAGTGGCATGTATGTAAATCTTCCTAATGATAAATGCCAATATTGTGAACAGAATTTTAAAAGCCATAAAAATTTTAAAATCGATTACAAGGATACGGTTCCAAAGCAAGACTTTCCATGCTCTTCAGTTCTTCATTCAATCTGCCATTAATCGAGAAAGTTATTCGCAGAAGCATTATGGTACAAACAAAGCAAAGGAGCGTTCATTACTGCAGTGAAATAAATCTTCCAAGACTAAGATGACTGACGTCATTGCAAAAGAATTCGGTAGGATTCTTATGGGAATGTGACTCCTTCAATCAGATCAAATACCGTGCATTATAGAGGACAAAAACTATTAAAAAAAATAATTAAAATGAAAATAATTTGTAAGAAAACAACCACAGAGCTTAATTAGCATTAGAGAAAGGAAGTTAACATGTGAACGATAAACCATGCCTTATAACCTAGAACATTGTCAGAAGGAATTGCAAAAGTTAAGCCCAGAGATATGGAGGAAAAGGTTAGATGATTTTCTTATTTTAATGCAAAATTTTGTGTTAACAGACGTATAGGGAGCAAAAGTATGCCTTGATTATTTCATTTTTTTTGCATAGTAATGCGGAATTATGAAGTATTTTCATTGAAGTGCATTAGGTTGGAGTTTGGCTTGAAAATTGACAGATGCATGCTTGCAGGATGTACCATGTATAGTATACCCAATAAAACGTACAATTATGTAGTGCCATTTTCTCAGTAAGAACTCACTCTACATAAAATTGAGAGGTTACTTGGTTAAAGATACTTTGACTGTAAAGTAAAAACAAATAAACGGTTTTTTCTGGCTTGAGGCAAGAGAAATAAAAAGCATCTGTGTACAGGATTCAAAATTTTCCAGAATATTTATTTTGATAGATTTGAAATCTCAACTGTAAAGATTACTCGCAACCCACAGCCTCAGCCTACAACTGTCGACGCCTATTGCAGCCTACCTTTGAAAGCCACCACCACCACAAACTGACACCCCACCACCGTCATTCACTGCCTTTCATTGCCCGCAATAATTCAATGCATTTAAAATGTATAAAAACAATTGATTTGCATACGTCCAAACAAGTCATACATTTGCTATAATGCATACATTTCAATTACTTGGCATTTTTAAAATATATGTATTATAAAAAAATATTTAACCAAACGGCCCCTTATGAAACCTATGACACACTGGCGCCGAGAAGTGTAATATTTCATTGCATATAAGGTATAGTTCTTTTAGAAGCATTATCGAGTTGTCAGCCCTATCGGCCCCCCACATGGGTTCCAAAGGCATCTTTAGGGTTGTAATTTGTAAATAAGCTAATACGCTCTACAAACTACTCATAGCTTGGCTTGGTTAGAGCTCGTTCGTTATCGTTAACTAATACAACAAGATTAAACACTTTTATAATACTTGATGGATAAGTGAACAAGCTTGAACAGCTTGTTGTTTGAATCGTTTATGATTATGAACAATATTATTCAAAGATTGAGGTTGTTAATATGCTCATTTTAAGGATCGATTATAAATTTATTTAAATGTGATTATGCAAAAGTTTTATTTATTTCTATAATAAAATGCTTTTATTCATAAACATCAATTACTTGTTTATATTTGTTGAATGCTTATTTATTTAGTACTCCATTCATCTTTAAATTAAATATGTTACTTATTGATAGACTTTATAAAGCTTGTTCTTTTGACTAGCCAGCCACTCGATAATGTTGCTCATTAATAGGTTCAGTAAACTCATTTGATTAACTAATAAATTGAACTCAAACCAAACTCAAACAACAGTAATTTTAAACAAATCAAACTGGAGCACCATTACAAATACTTGAATTGAGCTTAAGCTCGAGCGTGAAGAGGATTTTTGTAAATGAGATCAAGCTCGAACAAGCTCCAGTTTAGCTCAACTCAGTTCATTTAAAGCCCTGGGCATCTTAGAAGTTTTTAACGTAGTTCCTAGCCCTTACATATGAGAATTGTCGTCTACTTCATCAAATTGTTCTTCAGGAATGAAGTCTCTTTCTCCAGGAAGTGAACCCCTAGATATTTTCCAAGTGTGAAGTTTTAAAGTGAGCGCTAGTATCATGCCCAGCAAATTTGCTTCGCACCACCCTCCTAGTTACTTTATTTCAGGTGTTTATATCCATCTTCTTTCGCTCTTTGATGATATTCTTGTCTGGTTGCATGGAAAAATTGTTGTTGGCATTGTTAAATTCAGAAATCCAAATTTGCTGCCAACATTAACTGTGACAAGAAGGTAGACCTTGTCTTTTGTGTTTCTTATGTTTCTACGTTATTGTTTCTTGAATAATATTACCTTGAACAAGAAAGGCATCCAATATGTTTTTTTGAAAGCATTTTGAAAACCAGAATTAATGATAGGAGGAAAAGATAGTTATCTCCAACTCTATTGTAAATAAGAAGTATATTTAAGTAAATAAAAAAAAATACAGTACAAATTGTAGTTGCATGCCGCATTACAGATTTGAATAAATAAATATATATGGAAAATAGTCTGATTTACGAATGTGTATAAGAGTTTATGCAACCAATGCACTCAAAAGACTGTTCAATGCCGTCAGTGCTATAAAATAAGCAGTCTAACAAAATTTATGAATTTAGAGAAGAACCTTAAGCAAGAATTGATATATCGATTTCCTTTGGTTGCCGCATCTAGAGCTGCAAAAACAAGAACAGTAAAACATTTTAAATAGAAGAATTTTTAAAAGCATTCACCAGGTTCCGCCAAACTTAACAGAAAATGTCTGATGTAACAATTAGTAATTTAAAGAAAAAAACAACAGATTTCACTTCACATAAGATTCAATTATCATGCATGTGAGTGCTTTGTTTCAAAAAATGGAACAATAGGATAGACTGCTGCGGACATAAAGTCAGACAAGAGTGAGGTACATCAAATCACCTCACCAAACAAACTGGATCAAGCAACTTATCAAACAGTAAGTCCTTGCATGCACCAATAGAGGCAGGCACAATATAACAATAGATGCCTAAGAAGACAGCTATAGCTTATCTAGAGAAGAAAATAGCATGAGAAGTAGCCTGAAACAAGTAATCATATTTCTTCTTAAAAGGTATATCAGATAATGAAAGAGTGATGGTAGTGGGAAAGCAGTCAGCAAAAATGGATGCTCTAGAGGCATGCAACACAGTAGGAGGATAGACAAATTTTGGCCCAACATTGCTTTCAAGGATGATCAATGCCATAACAATGAGAATGATGTTGAAAGAATTTCCCCCAATGGCTAAATTTAATATCAACATAACCTTCATGCCCACAAATACACCATAAAAGGGCGGTCTAATTAAAATATGGTGCAGAAGGAGACAACAGTTTGGTGACTAATGAGCTCATGAGATGGTGTTTGCAACACTGGGAAGTGTGGAGTTGGCCATCAGCTATAATAATATATGTTGAAGGGATGGATTAAGACGAAATAAAAGTTTAGAAATAAAAAATCCTTTATTATGTTGTTGTATGCAATCAAGGGTAAAAGGTCTGCAATGAAGTAACTCATCTCATGTACCCTGAGGGGCACTATAATTCTAGATGAACAAATTCATTTGTTGTAGAGAGAACAAATCAAGGTATAAAGGACAACGCTGAGAGATATTACTTTCCTGAACGTAGAGCTGAGAAAATCCAGCATCGCCCTACATAATTCATGAATTACGACTTTAAAAGCAAAATAAATTTTCAGCTTATTAAATAACCAAGTTAGAATGGCATATCATATACTTTCTATTTGGAGAATTTGATGGTATCATCATGAGCCATGGAAAATGCATCATGGTGAGAAAGTCAGTCATGAGAACTAACAAGAAAATGAAGGGCCCTTGATCAAAAGAGACAATTAGTGCCACTAAACTGGATAGAGGTACCAATAGGCAAGGGGTTCGCATCATGTATAGGAGTGGTCATGATATTGTATCAGTTAAAATACAAGGACAAAGAAAAAAGATCAGGTCATTGAAAGTATATCGTTGAGATGTAAGGTGAAAAAATAGGAAAGAGATCAAGCAGTGAGTAAAGAGTCAAACCAATTTGAAAAGCATCATGATGTATTGTATCAGCACATGTTAGAACGGTGAATCAATCGTAGAGGGTTGTGATCAGATATTGGTAGTGTGTTGAGTATCCAAGATTCCAATTCATTCAGTGATGTATTGTATCAGCACATGTTATAATGGTGAATCAATCGTAGAGGGTTGTGATCAGATATTGGTAGTGTGTTGAGTATCCAAGATTCCAAGTCATTTAGTGATGTATTGTATCAGCACATGTTAGAATGGTGAATCAATCGTAGAGGGTTGTGATCAGATATTGGTAGTGTGTTGAGTATCCAAGATTCCAAGTCATTTAGTGATGCTAGTAAGAAGCGAGCAAGTGAAATGTACTGCATAATAGACGGGCAGTGGAGTATAGCAAAGCAACACACAGCTAAGGCGGTGCAAGCAAGTAACAATGAACATGAGTAGGGAGGAACAATATTCAGGAGGGAGCATCTCCCGCTTCCTATGTGGGATTTCACAAGTGTGCAGTAGCTTGAACTGGTCCATGAGGGCCGGTCAGCCCTTCCTCTACGTAGATTTACTGCCCAATTGGGGTGCGATCCACTCCTTAATTACCCTAGGTCTATATGTACGTTGTTTTCATATTCTAGGCCAATTTTTCATGAGCAATCTTCGGCGTCCCCAATTTTCCCTTCTAGGGTTGTATCCAAGGAAGAATTGTGCTCCGGCTGTATCTCGCTCCAAGGTGGTGAATATCCTCGACCTTCCCATCCTCCACAACCTCCCCATCGCCGTGTTGTTGTAGTCAAACTCCCCCCAGACAAAACCTTTTATTGTCTCCTACAGCCCATACACCACCCTGCCACCTTGGTCCTCACTTCCATCACCATTCCAGCCTGCCTCTTCGCTGTCCCTGCGATTCCAGACGCTCCCGCTTGCTATCATCACTGTTCCAGCTGCCAGAAATCTCCTCCCCTTCCCACCAGCTGCTGTTCCAATCATCCCGGAGCACGTCCTTGGCACCTAACCGCTGTCCCAGCCCTCCTACACCATCTTCATGCCACATATCCGCTGTTCCAACCTCCAGGAACCCAAATTCCACCTTGTTGCCACCCAGGACAGCAACAACATGTTATTCCATAGTCATATCTGTTCACTTGCTCCGCACAGACCCCCAACAACCACTACAATCACCTGTGATCCACCCTAATTTGAGTTGGTGTTGTCATTTGTTGCAGCTTCAAATTTTCATGTGTCATGTTGTTGTAATTTCCCCCTCCAGTAGTGTGGTTGTAACTTACCTATTTCAATTTCAACCATAACATTGGTTTGCTTATTGTTATTTGGGTTAACTTTGGTATCAAATACACAAGCAATAATGAGTAGGTAAGGAAGCATAGGCATAAGCGAACATCAAAGTAATTGAGGAACCAAGGAAAGCTTGGGACAGGAGCAGGGTGGTGAGCATAGAACAGTATTGATAGGCCTAAGATGGAGCGCAACAGTGGAACTAGGACACAAGTAAAATAAAAATAAGCCTGGGATGTAAGGGGCCTTACAGGATTGGATCTTAGAATTGGAACGGGTTGGGATGATGGCTTATGGGATCAATCAGTTGGGTAGTGTTCCTACTTTGATACCATATCTTTTGGAAAACAATTATATGCATATTTAACCAGTATGATGGCCTATAAATAGACATGTAAAATAATACAATTAAGGAACCAAATAATTAAAAATCATATCCCAAATTATGAGGATATCCTTCGAATATATTCTCTTTCCAACATTTGGTGAGCCACCTAATGAATGAGTACTATCAAATAAATCAACAAGCTATTATAATCTAAGATACATGAACTGCAGGGTAAATATTAAGGGTAGTGAAGTTGCTCATGAGATATATTTATTAATTAATATCCAAACTATCTAATGAGGAAGCTTGAATAATAAACAATTGGATAAAGTAAAAAAGAAATGTTCATTTTTCTTGTGTTCATTAAAAGTACTATCATAATCTCCTTCCAACTTTGAAATATCCACGTGATACATTAGTACCATCAAATACACCACAATGGGGTGTCAAATCGGTCGCAAGTCGAGTTCAGGTCTAACCCAAACTTGTTTGATCTGAGCCAAATATTAAACGAGTCAAAAATGTCTAACAAGAACCTAATCAACTTTCAAACCAACTGACCCAAAATGTAACTCGTTTAACATAATTCATAACAACTATTTCGATCAAATTCAAGTCAAGTTCGAGTCAATTTCGAACAGGCAAGTCAATTCATATTTGAGGATCAACCCGAACTTAACCCGAAAAATTAAACATGTTTGAATTCTAGGCCAGAACATAACTCCAAAATTAATTGGTTCAACACAAACTTTTTTAGCCGAGTTCGAGTCAGATTAGTATGTAGAGCTAATTTTTAATACTCCACCAACAATTATCATAATCTAAGGTATGATGAATAGTAGGATAGATATTCCAATTGGTGAAAGTAGCTCATGATATTTATTCATTAATTGATATCCAAACAATCTAAATGAGGAAACATAAATTGTAAACATTTGGTTAAATTAGAAAGAAATATTTATTGGCATAAATTTCACTAAGAGCATTTTGTGAGAATTAAATATTCTCTAATCTACATAATTTTGTATGCCATACTAATCACCGTACAAATTGTAAACAGTGACAATGAACATATTTCCCAATTTTAAATGTCCCTTTGACGATGACTACTGCAAATTCTTCTATAATATCCCTAACGAAGCCATCCAATACAATTGTAAATGATCTGCATGACCCATTTATCATTGCCTATTGATCAATTATTGTTAAACATATTTTTCAACCTATCATTCCCACACCCCTCCACCCCTATGACAAAGCATCACAAGGATTTCACAATGCACACCCAACAACTGAAAAACAATTACGGATCTAAATATTTAAAAAACATATCATAAATTATGAGGATATCCTTCAAATATATTCTCTTTCCAACATTTGGTGTGCGCCACCTAATGAATAAGTACTATCAAATATATCAACAGGTTATCATAATCTATAATATCATGAGGTACAAGGTAAATATTAAAGGTAATGAAGCTGCTCATGAGATTTATTCATTAATTTATATCCAAATATAAATGAGGAAGCATGAATTGTAAATAATTGGATAAAGTAGAAAGAAATGTTCATTTTTGCTGTGTTTACTAAATGTATGATGTCATTATCTCCTTCCAAAATTGGAATATCCACGCAAAATGTTAGTACTATCAAATACACCAACATAGGGATGTCAAATCGCTAGCAATTCGACATCAGGTCTAATCCAAAATTGTTTGACTTAGCGAAATATTAAACGGGTCAAAATGTCTAACTCAAACCTGATCAAATTTCAAACCAACTAACTCAAACCCGACCCATGTAACTCGTTTAACATAAGTCCTAACCGCTATTTCGGGTCAAACACAGGTCAAGTTCGAGTCAATTTCGAGTAGGCAAGTCAATTCATATTTGACGATCAACCCAAACTTAGCCCAAAACATGTTTGAATTCTAGTTCAAAACACGGCTCAAAAATTAATTGGTTCAACCCAAACCCAATTTTGTGTAGTTGAGTTCGTGTCAGATTAGTGTGTAGAGTTAATTTTTAATATTACTGCACTGACAGTTATCATAATCTAAGGCATCATGAATGGTAGGATAGATATTCCAGTTGGTGAAAGTAGCTCACGATATTTATTCATTAATTGATAGCCAAACAATCTAAATGGGGAAGCATAAATTGTAAACATTTGGTTTAAGTGGAAAAAAATATTTATTGGCATAAAGCTAAAAGTATTTTGTGAAAATTTAAATGTTCTCTAATCTGCAGAACTTCGTATGCCATACTAATCATCGTACAAGTTGTAAACAGTGATAATGAACATATTTCCCAATTTTACATGTCCCTTTTGATGATGACTACCGCAAATTTTTCTATATAATACCCTACTGAAACCATCCAATACAGTTGTAAATAATCTACATGACCCATTAATCAGTGTCTATTGATTAATTATTGTTCAATATATTTTTCACCCTATTGTTCCCACAACTCTCCACCTTGTGACGGAGTATCACAAGGATTTCACAATGCACGCCCAACAATTGATCCGCTAGATCCATAGCCACGTTCAAATCCGTCCAATAACATGATTATTAGCATATATAGTTCTTTTTTTTCTTACTTTGCAAACTAAATCATATCAGAGCCTTTAATGATTAGGTTATTCACCAAACTAGCAACCAATGAAGTTAGCTAGTACTTTGTTTTCAGATTAATCTTGATAATGATGACCATTTTTATTTCGCTTGCATGTTTAGTATGATTTCATTAATTTTTCATATTACTTTCAATCAAGTTTAGCAAGACTTGCGTTGCAAACAAAGCTTTAAGTTAATTTCAAATAAATGGACCCTTAATCATTAAAATGAAATCATTAATGAAAGTTTCTTACATGACTAATGCTTTACCAAGCATTCTCTCTCCTGTCCTTACCAGATGCTTGTTGCTCTCTCTCTTTCTCAGTTTGCGCCAAGAATAGAATGTTAGTTAACTCTTCCCTCACCATACCTGAAATGTGACTCAACCATCCATCCATCCCATCCAAGCATTGTTGCCAACATTTTTTCAAACTCCTTCTAATCTAGAAACCTAACTAAGATTTGGAGGTTTTTGATGCACCCTACTGTTTTTCTATTTTTAGCATGCAAAACACAATATTGCTGACATCCCTACCCGCCATTCCGCAAAAAGATCATGCAGATAACAATTTCTTTTGACCCCACTCCCCTCCCGTCCCATCCCATGAAATAATTAAAAAAAAAGGTGGCATAAGCATCAGCTCTAATATGAAACTAAAAAAGGGAGTAATCCTCTGCTTAAATGATCTCACCACCCCTTCAAAACCACCAAATGTTTTTGAAAAGCTATTGAACTTTAATTTTAAAGTAGGTAAATGTTCAATGAGAAAGAACGACACTCTATACAGCTTAGATGTTCAAAACAACAGAAAATATATATATATATATATATTTTTTTTAAAGAAGTTTAGCTCACCTGCTACTTGAAGTGAACCAACAACATCACTGAAACACTGCATGTTCTCAATTGAATTGCTAGTGACCTGCAGCCATGAAAGATACAGTCAGAAGTGGCAATTAGAAAGAAACATGTCAGTACAAAGTATTTAGCAGCTAACAAAAGCTAAGAAAATGAGGGGAAAAAACGACCTAAAAACGTGTCATCTCCTGGTTCCGTCACGCTATAATAAACATATCTATCAGGAAAAACCTTGGAACCGCGCGAATCTATCGATACGAAAAAAATAATAATAATTCAATGAAATGGGATTTTCATCAGCGCATACCTCTGAAAGAGCCAGGCGGAGGGTGGAGAAGAGAGAATCATAGCTCTCGGCGATAGCAGAAGAGTTCCTCTCAACAACTTCCAGTGCCCTAAAAATCTCTCGGCGATCCTCTGCTGTCTTCTTTTCGGGTTGATTTCCGCCTGACTCCGAATTCTTTCGAGCTGTTTCTCCGAGCTCCCGCCCACCAGTCTGACCAAATGGCTTTGGAGTTTGTTCCTCCGGATTTGAAGAAGTGTCTGCGGATTCTCGCAGTTTCATTCCGAAGAAGTCTGCAATCTATTCAGTGGCTGTCGATTCAAGAACCAACTTACATCCCGTTTCCCTCTGTTTTGGGAAAACGTATTGCCTCATGATCCGGAGTCGAGAGTTGCATTCGTAGTCCAATAAGAGTAGTCCAAAAAAAAGTCATTTAACGTGACCAGGCCCAGCCCGCCGAAATGCCAGCCCGTCTAAATGCCGATCAAGACAAAAGACGCTGATTGATTTGGTCACTTCATTTTTGTTCTTTCATTATTTTCGAGCTTCCCTTCTTTTTGGGAAAAAATATTACATCAAGACTACACATGTAGGGTAATGTGCGTAGCCAATGAAATCACGCTACAATATCCCGTGCGACACAGAAAAAAAAAACGGCGGAGTAACACGGGGAATATTCTCCCCCATGTTATGCATGTATTATTGTGTGTTATTAATGGGTTATTGTGTCCTGGGAATATTCCTGATGTTATAATAACACAATAACACATGGAATAACCATGAATAATACACAATAACACAAGAATAACACGGGAGAAAATATTCCCCCGTGTTACTGCGTTGTTTTTTCTCTGTCGGGAATATTTTCCGTGTTATTTAGGTGTTATTGTGTGTTATTTATGTGTTTTTTTGTCCTGTGTCCTGATAATATTCTTGGTGTTATAATAACACAATAACATATGATTAATACTCAATAACACATGAATAACACGCAATAACACATGAATAACACAGGGGGAAATATTCCCTGTGTTACTGCACCGTTTTTTTTGCTCTATCGCACGAGATATCGTGGTGTGATTTGATTGGCTACGCACATTATTTTTACGTGCGTAGTACTGATGTAATATTTTTTCAGGGCGAAAAGAGTCGAAGCTGAACCAAGGACCAAAAAGAGAAAAAATATTACATCAGTATTACGCACGTAAAAATAACGTGCGTAGTCAATCAAATCACACCACGACATCTCGTGCGACAGAGCAAAAAAAACGGCGCAGTAACAGCAGTAACACGG